ATATTTGGGCTTTACACGCACAAGCTTACACTGGATGAAAGCATTCACACTATCTCTTTCTTGCGAGCTTTCTTTCTTCACAACACCCACCCACACCATTATCAAAGTAAGTTTCTCTCTTTTTGTTTCTTCATTATTTGAATATTGTAGATTTTAGAGAGTTTGATTTTACTTCTTGTTGATTTTCTCCCTTACTTTTGCTTCTTCGTAACTCGAGCATTATGTTGATTTTTTGCTTTATGGTAAAAAGGAGAGGAAAGCTTGTCTAAAGAAGACGATGTACACAGAAGAGAGGGGAGAGAATTTCTTTATGATAGGTATATAGTCAAGTTTATGTAAATATGGTAAAAGATATTCTAAGTATAAATGAGAAGTTTAAAAAAATATAACATGATATCAATTTTCCTAATGAATCCAAACATCATTAAAGGAACTTAACGTAGAGGGAGAAGTTTGTTATCTTTTTGAAAGTTTAAGAGGAATTTCAAACAAAATATAATTTATAAGAAAATTCGAATATTTTGTATAGTTCAATAAATATTTTGATATTATGACCTATGAATAATTGATGCCTAATTACTTATGGAAAGAATTAGGTAAATTTTTATTAAATTTTATGTTTAAAATTTAAAAAAAAAAAAAAGTTTCTTAAGAGTGAAGTTGAAATAAGTTTTTTTCTTTTAGTTTTTGATATTGGTAAAATTTAAAATATATTATCTTAATTTATTAAAAAATTATTTAAAATAAAAATTTCAATTAATAAAGTCTTAGTACGGTTTTAATAGTTAAATGAATCTAATTTTGTAAATAAATTCTAAAAAAAAGAATTTATATATTTGAAACAACCTAAATTAAGTCGAATTTAAACCATCCTTATCCTTGTAAGTGCACGAATCACAATAAATACAATTATATATATGGTATCAATTATCAATTCGAGCTAAAATACTTTTATTTACCATCTAAATTAGAGTTTAAAAGGAAAATTTTTCTTTCAAGACACGGTGTTTTTACTTTTTTTTCTTCTAATTTTAACCACACAACAAATGACAAGAATAAAAATAGTTGTCACGCAAATATATATTTTTTCTTTTTTTAAAAAAATCAATTTTATATGAATAATATAGTTTTTTTTTAAAAAAATAAAAATAAAAACACAAAATTCCGTGTCTGTATTTGAATTTGGAGGAGTAGAGATTTGGGAAGAGGACGACGAAGAGAGGGAGAGAGAGGAGGTTGACAAGGACAGGAGCAGAAACACTGACGCAAAGGGTCAAAAAAACCTTCCCGCCATGTCAGCAAAGAAATGCCGCGCATGAATCTGCCCAGCCGAATCTCTGCCACCCGTACCCACCCTCTCTCAAAGCTTCCATAACACAAATCTCCTCCGTCTCTTTCTCTTTCTCTTAAATTTTGGGCTTGATATTCTTAGAATGACCTTCTCACGCTCATACCATTTGCTCAATTCTATCCTCTCTTGAAAAAATAAAAATAAAGAAAAATCTGTCTTCTTCCTCGTGTCCGAATTCAGATCTTTCTCTGACTGGTGGTTTTCTTTTTCTTTTTCTAACTTTTTATTCTTTCCGATTCTTAGAGGATTCTGTTTTTTGCACTTTTGTCGAATACCCAGATTGGTCATTGGAGAAAATCGAGTTCTGTCTCAGAGAATGTTTGTCTTTGTTTTCAATTTTTTCGGATTCTTTTGTACATCTGTTTGATTGATAAGAAAAGGATTTCCGATTTTTCACCACCATAAAACCATTAAAATCGAGTCCAAAGAACTCAGATTCATTCAAATTCAAGTGTAACTAATTTTTGTTCCTTAATTTCCGTCACTTTCTGCAAAATCCCCTGCTCATTATTCTTTTGCTTTTCTGGAATCTGAATTCGATAGAGAAGGGTGTTTGTAATTCAAATCTAATCCCTGATTCGGTTTCTAGTCGTACAACCAGGGGAAGAAAAGAGGCAGAACTCGAGAATCGGAGAAATGGAGCCACCGTCGAAACAGTCTCTGCAAAAACCGCCGGGCTATCGAGACCCGAATATGGGTCCGGGAGCCAGGCCGAGACCGATGCCTCCACGAAAGCCGGTTCTCCCGCCTTCCTTTCACGGGAGGAAGAAACGGAGGAGCGGTTGTCGTTTCTGCTGCTGCTGCTGTTGCATCACATTACTGATGCTCATGCTCTTCGCTCTGATCGCCAGTGCGGTTTTCTACCTCTGGTACGACCCCAGACTCCCGATATTCCACCTGCAATCTTTCCGGGTCCCGCAGTTCAACGTCACGGTGAGACCCGATGGGTCGTTCCTCACGTCGCAGACCGTGACGAGAATTGAGGTGAAGAACCCCAGCGGCAAGCTGACGTACTATTACGCCGACGCGGATGTGGACGTGAGCGCTGGGAAGGGCGACGACGAGACGAGTCTGGGATCGGGGAAGGTGGTCGGATTCAAACAGGCACCGAAGAATGCGACGAGCTTGAAGGTGCAAACGCAGGTGAGGAACCAGATGGTGGATGATAGGATTGCGAAGAAGCTGACGGCTCGCTTTGAAGGGAAAGAGATGGTGGTGAACGTGGATGCTACTACGAAGGTGGGATTTGGTGTGGGTGGATTCAAGGTTGGTATGCTGGGCATCAATCTGAAATGTGGAGGTGTCACCATGAATCAGCTTGATTCTGCTATGCCCAAATGCTCCGTCAATACACTCAAATGGTAAATATTTAAATTCATTAAGTTGAAGTATGTTGCTTTTAGGATTGAGTTTGATTTAAATATCATGGGTTAATATTAAGTTGAGTTTGAATTAGAATATAAAAACATATAATGAATGATGAAATTCAGAAGAAATTTTGAAATTCGAGACTGGTTTAATTGTAGTTTATTATACATATTGAATAATTCAAGTATGTAAATTGAATTGAATTAGAACATAATTACAATATAAAAGTTTAGTTTACTTTAGAGTTAGAAAAAATTCAAGAGGAAAAAGAAGAGGATGTTTTGAGAGACTAGTAAAATATTTAATGACATATAAATTTTTCCAAGTGATAATCTGTTTGAACATTAAATATTGCAGTTGTAATAGAACTTATTTTGAGTGCAGGATCAACATAGGTTGAAGAAGGTACGTACATTCATGGATGATATTTGGAGGATGAAGGCGTCAATATTTGTAGACAAACATTGATATGGAGTATACAGAATTTTAGCTAGCCTTTATTATTTTCATATATCTTCTATTGACCTACATTTTTATGATATAAATACATATTATATATATCATAATTGATATATATGTACGCACATTATTCTTTTCTTGGAAAGATAAAAGGGGGATCATACTCTAACGTGTTTCCATGTTTTGAACTTTTTGTCATCTTTCTTTTTGATGTACATTGTGGGTATATATATATATATATATATATATATATATATATATTGATTGAGTAGAGCCAAATAATATATGTGTGTATATGGTAGTAGTGTCGATGAATTTGTTTGGTTATTTAATGAGTGTGTTAAATCTAAATAGTTGTTTTATCCAATTAGATTATTAATATGTATATTTTCTGTGGGGTAATGTTAAGGAAGCCTTTGGATTCCGGATGAGGGATGCTGACGGCTTGCTTGTCTTTTTATTAATGTAAAAATAAATAAATAAATAAATAAATAATAAAGTGGATTAATGTAAGATGTCAGCAATTAGTGTGATGATTAGAAGATAACGCAAGAGAGGGATATGACATCCGCCGAACCCTGACTCCCCCACGCTAAGGGCTGGAAAAATTATTTACAAACTGGTGGATAAGCCTGAAAGGTAATCTTCACCGCATTCCTTTCTTCTTCAAATTAGTTCACCTCTCATTATTATTATTAGTTTGAAAAATTAGGAGCTGATTCTAAAGTGCAACCCACTGGTTTTATGTCAGTATTTTTCTTTATGCTCAAGAGTTGGTTTCAATTTATTATTTTATGTAAAGTTAGATGTATGTTATGTTGTATTAGAAAAATTAAAGCTACTATTTCATTATTTCAACATTAGTTTTTAGTGGTTTCTAATTTTCAATAAACCTCGTACTAATCTTTTTTTTTTTAAAAAAAAAATTATTTTTGTACACAATGCACAAACGTTGAATAGGTATGTCTCATGTTTAATATATTTTATGTGGTCCGAAATTAATTTTAAAATTAAAATATATATATATATATATAAATTTATAAAAATATAATTTTTAAAATTTATATATATTTATTTAATGTAAACTTAGAAAAAA